TGAAGAAAGGTGCCTTGAAGACCCTAGGCTCCATATCTGCAACAAAAATTTCATTGTTATCTTCTTCTGTTCCATCAAAAAATTCATCTTCAAATACAGGAGATCGAGCAGCCAATACTAGTTTGTGAGCATGAAACTTTTCCCCTGACACATTAAAAGTAATATCTGAGCCTTCCTCATTCTCCAATAGCATCCCAAAATGTGAACCAATATCTGATTCAGGTACATGTATTGGGTGCAATCTGGGGCAATCTGTTGCTGAGACCACAACTCCAACAGTGCAGTTAATTTTCAGACAGTCATTCTTGAGGAAATCTGATGTTTCCAGCATTGCACGTCTGAAAAACCGCTTGTAGCCCCTAAAACAAAAAAAAAAAAAAGGTCATACAAAGTAAAGGAATTTTCCAAAAGAGAACATTTCTTCTTTTTCTTTTTTTTTTTAAAAAAGAGAGGACTGGGAGTTCAAAAGTTGAAGATGTAATGTTTAATAAGAATCTCATATCTTCATGGCAAGAAGATGGCTTTGACTCACTGTGGGAGCACAGAGCAGAGAGTACTGCAAGTTGAAAAAAAAAAGGATACTGCATGCCACTCACAAGTTTCAGCTATATACATACTCATAATTAAATTAACAAAAACTTAAGATTGAACAAATAAGTTTGAAAATGAAAATACGAAAAATGAAGTTGTTGACCTTTCAATGTTTGACATAAGGGAGAAGAAAGATTTGAGACACTGGTCTATGATATTTTCCCAAGCATTCTACCTATATTCCTCAAAATCCCCCACATTCTTGTTACTCTCGTACTATGTTGAGAATCGTTTCATGTATTTTCTATTAAATATTACAGTTTTATATATACAGGTTTTTTATAACAGAAAAGAAAATGAACAATTATTATAAAAGACATAACTTACCATTATATCCTTTAACCTAATTTACCCTCTCTTTAACAATAGTAAAAAAGATAGGTACAAAAAAAGAACTCATGTTTCAGGTAAGATTGAATCGTTATCCCAGTTTTATAAGGATAATAACTGACAAGCTGTTATGGTCCAGTGTTTGGAATCTGATCATGGGTATGCTTCCCGTAAGTCTTGCAGCAAGCATGAAACTTGTCTGTTTGATTTCCTATCTTGGAAACCTACCTTCAGGGCAGGAGAGAACCAGGTTCTCTATATCTACAAAACAATCTTAAATTTTTATGTTGAATGAGAATTATTTTCTTAATACTCTAC